GCCCCTCTCAAGGCTTGCGGAGTGCACTCGAGGCGTGTGCCCGCTGCTTCCCTCCGCGCCTGTGTCTGTGCGCTGCGCTGCGGCGTGGTGTGGTGTGGAGGGCCGCACCGCCTCCTGCTGCACCCCGCTGACAGCACAGAGGGGCACCAGCTGGCAAATGTTTAACAGCACATACCTATCCATTAAAAACGCATCACGGCTGCCACGTTCTTTCATCTTTACATTTGGGGTTGTTGGGGGTTTGTTTTCATGTGGTTCGTTGTGCTCTGCCACTAATGTTTTGTTTGAGTGATGTGTTACTCCTCCAGTTGTCTGTTGGGTGGTGGTCTGTGCGCTGCTGCTCTCCCCTGCTGTGCTTGTGTACCCCGCTGTGCGTCCCTCCCCCTCTGTAGACCAGTGTGCCTCGGGCTGTGATGNTGGCGGCGGTGGGGCGTCCCGCGTTGTTTGTGGTGGCCGTCGTGCTGTGCTGCGTGTGTGGCTGTGCAGCGGCCACTGCTGAGGGTGATAATGGCGATGAGCAGAGGAAGAAAGTATTGATTGAGCTGGAGAAGGCGAATGGGGAAGCGCTGAAGGCTAAGAAAGTGGTGGAGGACGCCAAGAATAAGGTGAACGAAATCAAGCAGGCAACGGTTGACTTCAAGACTGAGGCAGACAAGGCATCAAACAAAGCAACTGAGCTTCATGACAAAGTAAAGAACAAGAAGGATACTCAGCTGGATGCTATTGATGGTGTAACCACCTTGGCGAAGGACGTTCTGAGCGCGACGAACACATCTCACGAATCACTTGCTTCACTCTGTACGAAGGTTACGGAAGCAGTGGACTCAATGACTACTGCAGGAACGTTGTTCACGGAACCCGGGGGCTTGGCTGGCAGCGCAGCGAGCGAAGCGGGTGAAGCTATCACCAACAAGGCGAAGCTCGCAGAGGAGGCATTCAAAAAACTATCAGCAGATCTGAAGGAACTCTCAAATGCCCAGAAATGTTCTGAAGTAGCAAAAAAGGATACACCGAAGGAGGTGAACGCTTTTAATGCCATGAACAGCGCCAAGGAGGCGTTTGTTTTTTTCGAAGAGAAGACCCCCAACGCACCGTTAACTGTAACCGAGGATCTACAGAATGCCGCTAAAAAAACCGCTAAACATGCAACGGATGCAGCGGGAGACGCGGAAAAGGCTTCGAGTGCTGCCATCAAGGCATCCGGACAAGCTGAAAACGCCTTCAACAGCGTTGAGTCATGGCTGGGGCAGGTCGAAGCTTCACTGAAGCCTCTTCAAGAGCAAGAGAAGGGACCTGAGAGTTCACCTCCGGAACCGTCACAGGACGAGTCACACAGCCAGAGTCTCCAACAGGAACCACTGGGCAGTTCTTCCACTGGTGAGAAGCCTTCTGATCAACAAGAAGCGGGCACCGCGGCGACCGACAAAGAGCAGTCACCACCAGTACCATCGGAAGAGAAGACAGCCGTAGAATCCCTGGAGAACGCTGCTTCCCAAGCTGCTGATGCGCCACTGTCACCTCCCAACAGCGATGCACACAACACCTTGAGTGATGCCCCGAGTAGGGACAGCAGCGTCAGTCCTTCGTGGGTGCGTACACCGTTGCTGGTGGTGGTTGGTGTGCTGGGCCTCCTGGCTGTGTGCTGAGCTCTGTGTGTGCACACGGAGAGGACGCATACACCCTGTGCTTGTGTGTGCTCCACTGGAGATTGTTTACTAACATGTTTTAGTTTTCGTTACACTTTCTTTTCGTTTGTTTCCCCCGCGCCACCTAATCCCCCTTGGAGGATACTCCCTGTGCTCTGTATCCAACGAGGACGGCGCATCTCTCTCAGTGCCGTAATGGGCTTTGCTTGGCACATGATTGTGCGCCGCCCACAGGAGAGGGCTTTCTCTGAAGTATTCTTCTAAATGACTCTCTCTTGTGAGTGAGCTGCGCCACGCTGCGCATGTTGGTCTGCTTCTGCTGTTCGGAGGTTGTCTGTGTGGTGCTGCTCTCCCCGCTGCGTGTGTGTGTGCTTAGTGCGCCCTGGCTCTTGCAGGAATGCGTGGCGGCTGCCCGTTGTTGGGCGTACATCATTCCCCTCTTTGTTTTGGGTTTGGGCTTCTTTTTTATACGGGTTTGTGTGCCACCCGTTGCACGAGCGTTGTTTGTTTGTTATTGCGGTGTTCTGTGGAGCACAGCGGTGGAGTGGTGCTGTGGCGGAGTGTGCAGTGCGGCGCCATTGGGCTGGCGGACGCGTGCGGCTCCACAGGAAGTGCACGACCCCGCACCACCGCATGTTCCGTGTCCTCAAGTATCCGTGATTGTGTGTGTGTGTTGTGGGGAAGTGCATTTGCTCTCGCAGCGGGATTAATGAGATGCCTGTGAATAAGTTTCCGCTGCTGCGGGGACGGCTCGTATGGTGAATTCACCCCCGTTCTGTTTGTTTCTTGTTTTCTCTCCGCTGCGCCATCACAGTGACGGGAGGAAGCATTGACGCCACTTGGGCTTTGCGGTGGAGTGCTTTGCCGCGGGGAGAAGTGTTTTAATTCTTTTGTTTCGGGGGTGTTGGGGGTTCGTTGTGAACATCTGAGAGTGAAAGAGTGTCGAGGAGTCTTGCTGCTGTGCCTGCGGTGTGTGCACTGTTCCGCATCGTTGCCTCTCTCCTCTCTCTGTTGCTGTGTAGGCAGTGCTGCTGCGCTCGTGGAAGTGACTGCGTGCCGCCGCCGCTGGCTGAGGGGCGCTGTGATGGTGCGGCTAAGGTGTGGGTGAGTGGCGTTGAGCGGCAGAGCAGTGCAGGTGTCCCTGTGCGTCTGGGACGATGTGCAGCTGTGGTGTTTTCCCTCTATTTCACCGCTTTTTCTATTGTCGCCTGCGGTGTGTTCAGCTGCGTCAAGTGTGGCCTGTGCATGTGGTGGTGCTGTCCGTGCAATTTCTATTGTGGCCTCACTGCTGTGTGCTGCATGGCTGCTGTGATGTTGGCGTGGCATCTCCAGTAGGGTGTTTTCTCCTCCCGTGCGATGGCAACGCGTGATGCGAGAGCCACTCCGTTGCGTGGGCACACTGAGCTGCGGACCGACTCTGCCTGAGTGACGGTGTTGTTGGGGGAGTGCATGCTGCGTGGACGGTTTGCCCAGCGGCTGCATTTGTTCTGTGTGTGTCTGTTGCTGTCGGTGTGACGTGTGTGCGTGGTGGTGCTGTGGGCGAGGGCCGCGGAAGGGCGGCGAGGCTTGCGTGGGCTGCGCAGAAGAGATGCGAGGAACTCCGTGTGGGTGCATAGGAGGCGGTGAAGAGGAAGGCTGAGGAGGAGCTGTGTG